AGATGACTCAGGAGAATAAACGCTTGCCTGGCAAGCGCAGGGTGCTGAGTTCAATCCCTGGTACTGGGAAAAAAAAAAAAAAGGATTAGACAGAACATGGAGGGTGGAAGATGTAGCTCCATGACACAAGCACCTGCCTGGCAAGGGGAAGGTCCTGAGTTCAATTCCTAGCACAAAGAGGGAGGGAGGAATGAGAGAGGAAGGGAGAGAAACATGGACTCTTCCAAGCACCTAGACATCTGAAACACCCAAACATTCACATCGGACTCTGAGGCACAAGATATGCAGAGAACTGTGACGACTCATGTTTACTAAGGCTTTCCCGTCTAATGTCCCTCTCCTTCTTTCAAGCCTTACATAGAAAGCACTCTTCTTGGTTGCCTACAGACAGCCTTAACACACTGCCTGCACCCGGGTGTCAAACTGTATACCTTGGGCTGGGGAGAGAGCTCAGTGGTCTAAGCACCTACCCGGCCAGCTTAAGAACCTGGGTTGGATCCTGGTACTGCATGTCGTTTGCCAGTCCTGGAACCTGAACGTGGTGGCACACACTTGGAATCCCAGAGCTGGGGAGACTGAGACAGGATGATTACTATGAGTCTGAGCTGCATAGCGAGACCCTGTACCAAATAAATAAATAAAAGATTAGGGCTGGGGAGATAGCTCAGTGGAATAAACTCTTTCCTGGCAAACATAAGGGCCTGAGTTCAATCCCTGGTTTCACCAAAAAAAAAAAAAAAAAAAAAAAAGGGGCCGGGGAGATAGCTTAGTAGAATAAGTGCTTGCCTGGGAAGTGCAAGGGGTCTGAGTTCAATCCTCAGTTCTGCCAAGAAAAAAAAATTTAAAAATTAATAAGCTCTATACCTCATTACATCACATAAACCTACTGAGTGATCTCCCTTTAGTGCTGCTTAAGGTTTCAATGTCAACGCCGCAAAAGGAATTTCCCAGCCTGCTTCCCAGATGGCTTCTACCCCTCGGAGCCCATTTGGGTTCCGTTTCCTATAGGTGGAAGGCCATGTAGCTCAGGGCCTTGGATTTTTTTCAGCTGTGAAACAGAGAAAATAATGTTCAGTGGCCTAGCTTGGCAGCCCAGGCCTGTAATCCCAGCACTTTCGGAAGCTGAGGCAGGAAGATGGCAAGTTTGAACCCACCCTGGGCAACATAGTGACTTAGCAAGACCCTGTATAAAAAAGAAAATTAAAAAGGGGACTGGGAATGTAGCTCAACACAAAGCCCTAGGTTCAATCCCTGTATCAGCAGGGCAAAATTAACTATGAGGTCTGCAGGAAGATTAAAGGAACAAAGATAACCGAGGTCCTCTCTGTCCTGACCACCAAGGGTCCGCATGAGTGGCACATGTGACCCAATTTGTCTGGGGTCTCAAGGGCTGAAGTTGGGGCCCCTGGACTCCTAGGATAGTTAAGAAAGGGGGGCATGTCACAGGCCACCACCTTCTGCCCTTGTCCTTCTCAGGGTGCCCAACCCACCTCCACATGCTCCTCCTGCCCTTCCTGGTCCATCTCTCCTGTCTGAGGGGTTTTGGGGGGAGGGCTGAGGTGCTAAGCCCTTGGAGCTGACAGCATCCCCCTTCCCCTTCCAGAGGTGCCCTGAGTCGGGGCTTTTCGCATGCCCTCTAGTGGCTCCCCAAGTTCAGGACAAACCATTTACAAATGGTGGGACACAATCGGAACAGCAGCCAGAAGCCAATCCTTACACTTTCTCTGTCCTGTGTTGGACGCTTCCGGGCATTACCCTAAGGTCCCTCTGCCCTTTCCCCACCTCCTCCCTGTCTGGATCTGTGCAAGACCCCCTCCCCCACAGAGAGCCAGCTCCTGGGCCTCTCTGCATCAGGGCTCCCCAGGACTCCTGGGCATACTCCAGCTCTTTTTTTTTTTTTTTTCAGTGCCAGTGATTGAACTCAGGACCCTGCACACTCTTGCTCTTCATTCACTTGTTTAACACATATTTATTGAACACTGTAGGGGAGGCAAAGCTTCTTTCATCCACCTAGGGTTTCTGGCTGGGCCTGAATAAAATGGACAAAGACAGACTATTGGGAAGAAAGCACAACAAATTCATTTAATCAGTTTTATGTGATGGGAGCCTTCAGAATGGAGACCCAGGGTGAACTGCCCATCTTTATGCTGAGGTCTGATGAAGTGCAAGCAATGTGAAGGAGTGACCCTGGGAAAGTCAGAAGGGGGGCAAGGCCTGGGGCTCAGGGCAGGACTCTGTGGGATCAGGGTCTTATAGGCTCCTCTCTGACAAGAGCAGGTGGGAGTCCAGCTCTTACACAGAAAGAAAGGAAATTTCCAAAGACAGAATCACATTTCCAAGTTTTGTGGCTTTGGGAAAATTGGGTCCTGATTGATACAGCCCAGCACACCTGGGGAAGGAAGCATGTGCCCTCCTTGCCTGACTGGCAAGCACAAGGTCCTGAGTTCGATCCCTGGTACTGCAAAAAGAAGAAGATGGAGGAGGAGGAGGAGGAGGA